ATGGATTATGGATGTACTATTTGTGTCTAGGTGACTTATGGCATAATGGACGTACCAATACCAGTACCTAGCAGTGACATCATGTTTGTACAATTGGCCAGCTATGACGTCATCGATGTACCACTCTCCCAACAAAGGGCCGACATCATGGAAGTTCCATTGTACTACTATGACGTCATGCATGTTCCCCATTGTACTGCTATCAGTGCTATGGCGCCGTTGATGCATCATTGTCCAGCTATGACGTCATAGCTCGACAATGGTACATGTATGATGTCATGGATGTCCTGCAGTCTAGGTCATGATGGATACAAAATAGAGATGGAGCATGAGGCTTACTGTGTGAATTCACCAACGGTTGGTGAGGAATTGCCATGTCCCCGTTGTTAGCTCGGATAAGCCTAGTTAGAGATGCATGCACACAAGCGTAAGACATAGGAACAAGACAACAACGAACTTTGAAAAGTGACATATCACACAACAGGATGTAAATGTCACTCTATTAGCCCTTATTGGTCACAGGCCATGGTGAGAAAAAAGGATTAAAAACATACCACACAACACACCACACAGCATAGCACACAACATGATGTAAAGCCCATCCGTATACTGTGAAACATGTAATTATTTGAGGTGCATCAAAAATTTCGGTGCCAGGGACCTGCCAGGTTTCAGGTGTAATGTACTTGTAGAATTAGGTGACCAGCATTTCGTTCACATACAGTGCATACTCGAGTGCCTTTTAGGTGTAATTTAAATTTAGCTGCCTGGTTTCTCCACCGAAATCACCAAAATTAAAGTTTCACCGAAAATAACATGTCTTACCGTATCTGTTATTGGCCGCATGCTATCACCATGCTATCACCATGCTATCACCATGCTATCACCATGCTTTCACCATGCTATCACCATGCTATCACCATGCTATCACCATGCTATCACCATGCTATCACCATGCTATCACCATGCTTTCACCATGCTATCACCATGCTATCACCATGCTTTCACCATGCTATCACCATGCTATCACCATGCTATCACCATGCTTTCACCATGCTATCACCATGCTATCACCATGCTATCACCATGCTATCACCATGCTATCACCATGCTTTCACCATGCTATCACCATGCTATCACCATGCTTTCACCATGCTATCACCATGCTTTCACCATGCTATCACCATACTATCACCATGCTATCACCATGCTATCACCATGCTATCACCATGCTATCACCATGCTATCACCATGCTATCACCATGCTATCACCATGCTATCACCATGCTATCACCATGCTATCACCATGCTATCACCATGCTATCACCATGCTATCACCATGCTATCACCATGCTATCACCATGCTATCACCATGCTATCACCATGCTATCACCATGCTATCACCATGCTATCACCATGCTATCACCATGCTATCACCATGCTATCACCATGCTTTCACCATGCTATCACCATGCTATCACCATGCTATCACCATGCTATCATCATGCTATCACCATGCTATCACCATGCTATCACCATGCTATCACCATGCTATCACCATGCTATCACCATGCTATCACCATGCTTTCACCATGCTATCACCATGCTATCACCATGCTATCACCATGCTATCACCATGCTATCACCATGCTATCACCATGCTATCACCATACTATCACCATGCTATCCCCATGCTATCACCATGCTATCACCATGCTATCACCATGCTATCACCATGCTATCACCATGCTATCACCATGCTATCACCATGCTATCACCATGCTATCACCATGCTATCACCATGCTATCACCATGCTATCACCATGCTATCACCATGCTATCACCATGCTATCACCATGCTATCACCATGCTATCACCATGCTATCACCATGCTATCACCATGCTATCACCATGCTATCACCATGCTATCACCATGCTATCACCATGCTATCACCATGCTATCACCATGCTATCACCATGCTATCACCATGCTTTCACCATGCTATCACCATGCTATCACCATGCTATCACCATGCTATCATCATGCTATCACCATGCTATCACCATGCTATCACCATGCTATCACCATGCTATCACCATGCTATCACCATGCTTTCACCATGCTATCACCATGCTATCACCATGCTATCACCATGCTATCACCATGCTATCACCATGCTATCACCATGCTATCACCATGCTATCACCATGCTATCACCATGCTTTCACCATGCTATCACCATGCTATCACCATGCTATCACCATGCTATCACCATGCTATCACCATGCTATCACCATGCTATCACCATACTATCACCATGCTATCCCCATGCTATCACCATGCTATCACCATGCTATCACCATGCTATCACCATGCTATCACCATGCTATCACCATGCTATCACCATGCTATCACCATGCTATCACCATGCTATCACCATGCTATCACCATGCTATCACCATGCTATCACCATGCTATCACCATGCTATCACCATGCTATCACCATGCTATCACCATGCTATCACCATGCTATCACCATGCTATCACCATGCTATCACCATGCTATCACCATGCTATCACCATGCTATCACCATGCTATCACCATGCTATCACCATGCTATCACCATGCTTTCACCATGCTATCACCATGCTATCACCATGCTATCACCATGCTATCATCATGCTATCACCATGCTATCACCATGCTATCACCATGCTATCACCATGCTATCACCATGCTATCACCATGCTTTCACCATGCTATCACCATGCTATCACCATGCTATCACCATGCTATCACCATGCTATCACCATGCTATCACCATGCTATCACCATGCTATCACCATGCTATCACCATGCTTTCACCATGCTATCACCATGCTATCACCATGCTATCACCATGCTATCACCATGCTATCACCATGCTATCACCATGCTATCACCATGCTATCACCATGCTATCACCATGCTATCACCATGCTATCACCATGCTATCACCATGCTATCACCATGCTATCACCATGCTATCACCATGCTATCACCATGCTATCACCATGCTATCACCATGCTATCACCATGCTATCACCATGCTATCACCATGCTATCACCATGCTATCACCATGCTATCACCATGCTATCACCATGCTATCACCATGCTATCACCATGCTATCACCATGCTATCACCATGCTATCACCATGCTATCACCATGCTATCACCATGCTATCACCATGCTATCACCATGCTATCACCATGCTATCACCATGCTATCACCATGCTATCACCATGCTATCACCATGCTATCACCATGCTATCACCATGCTATCACCATGCTATCACGCGACTAAAGATTTGAACGTGCCACACAATGTACAGTGAAACATGTAACTAACGACCACCCCTTGGGCTTGGGGCCAGAAAAAGCGGTCTTTAGTGGCAGGTGGTCTTTATATGATATGTAGGTCAAAATTCAGCTAATACAATTCCCCGCAGTCACTTGTACAGTCGGATACCGCTGCCATAAATAGTGCGCCGCACTCTCTCCAAGATTAGCTGCCGCAGCTAAGTACTTGTGCTTGTTGTCTGTTACATTATGTAACTGGAAGGCGATCTCCAGCTGGCTCAGCCAGGTCTGAAAATGATCATGCCCCAGCTCATGATCCAAGTCCAACTTCACCTTCAAAGGAACCCTTTCAGCTACTAGTATCGAATCTGCTCGTTCGATTGATCACAGCTAGTGTATATTTTCACAGACAACACTACAATGTAGAATCCTGTTCACTGCGCCATTGTGAGGTTTCTATATCCTTGGCTTCATAAGACTACACATAGTAACAAGTTGATTGGAGCAACGAAAGGCTAATCTTACTGGAGCACATCACGCAAGAAAGAACAACGAATAATACGGAATGCATCTACAAGAAGGAAATGCAGACACGGAAGAATCTCACACCAAGTCCCGAAAGTGGACTTGGTGGGACGGAAAAGGCTACAGTCTGACATAGTGATCAGTGGAAAGCTACACTACATGTACACAAAGGTGTCACAAAAGTACACGAGTGCTGTCAAGAGATCACAGGTGATGGAAGGGTTGTGCAACAAAGACATATGGAATGGCCAAAGGACAAATCCTGCACCATTGCATGTACAAAGTCTGTTAATACTACAAGTAGTAGTTGGTGTGCTTGTGCCATGGTGCGATTACTGGGTGATGTGTGTTGTTCACTAACCTGGCTGACAGCTTTTGTACATGATTGTCTACACTCGGACGTCCTGTGAAACATGTAATTTTCGGTGTAACTTTAATTTCGGTGATTTCGGTAGAGAAACCAGGCACCTAAATTTAAATTACACCTAAAGCCACTAGAGTATGCACTGTATGTGACGGGAACGTTGGTCATCTAATTCTACATTACATCTGAAACCTGGCAGGTCTCTGGCACCGAAATTTTAATGCACCTAAAATTACATTGTTTTACAGTACTCAGTCTTCAACACGGGCCTGAGCTCTGCTCTGGTACTGGGTGGGATTTTGTTGTTTGAGTAACTGTTTGTGTCGGTAACATAAATCATTCTGACTCTCTCTCTCTCTTTTGCACAAGACATGAATGGTGTCCATTTTCTGTTGTGCTTCATTACAATGTGGCTCTTCTGGATTGTTATGTAAGGTGAAGTGCAGTCAACTTTGTGCGTATAACGACACTCGGCGGGGCATCAGAAAAGTGAAGTGTCCTTATACCTGAAGTCTCATTATATAATATTACTGTTACTAGATGGGACTTTGCTCTGGGCATGGAAATTCTGTCATTATTCGCGAATTGTCGTTATGCTATTTTCTCCTTTGAGCAGTAGCATGAATCAGAGAGAAGGTTCGATGCGCTCTCCAAGATGTTTACTATCGTGTTTGCTCATGACAGCACTTGAAACTATGACAGGTGCAGTGCAGCCCACAGTCAAAAAGAGCCTGCATTCATTTGTTCAGCTGTAGTATCAAAAGAGT